AAGGTGTCCTGTAACCTTAAAGAACGTGCAAACAACTCCATTTTTAGTTCAGTCAGTGGAGCAAAATGTCCGGCAACCCCAGCATCACCGCTACAAGGATCTGTTTGTATTCCTGGAAATGCCTAAAAATGTGTTTGTTGATATTGTTATCTGATTGTTATCTTTTACCGATTATTCTAATCGCCAAAAGCAGTTGTATAAAAATGCTTATTTTATTACCTGATTTATTATTACTGCCTGTGGTGGTATTCCACGCATAGAATCCTATTTCGTTTTCTCCCCTATAATTTTCTCTAATCCGTTGCTCCGCCTTTGTTATATCGGCGACTGAACCGAGAATAACGATGTTATAAAATTGCTTCAGGCCAAAATTTAATCGTGCCACCAGTCCCAATACTTTTTCTATGCATCCGTGAAGACACTAAAAATATTAATATAAAATAATTATCTAAAATATATCTTTCTCTTTAATTCTTATTACTTATCGCCGTTACAAATTGTAGAAAATAGCTAAAATACGTGCACTCTGTAATAATAATATTAATAACACCAAATTAATATGTCGATAAATTTAAACTTTGCATTATATCTGCCATCCTCATTCACAGACACAAACATCTGCTTCCGAACTTCGACGCAATTCAACAGGATTGTCGAACAGCAGGGCCACTCAAGCCTTGGTCTGGGAGCGAGGATGCATATTAGCCTCACATATCGCTTGAACGGTTATTAGCAATAAAATGATAGTATATTTACTTTAATAAACTGCATTAGCCATTACTGACAGTTTTAATTAAAATGTGCCCGTACATTTTTTGCGAGGTGACTCTTATTTATTGTGCACATGCATGCATGCAGCCAGAATATCAATCTCTGTCAGGTTTGTTTACCTGTTCTTCTATATTGTTTGGCAATCTGTAGATTGCAAGAGAAATGCCTTTGTCATTTTTTATATGTCCTTGTACAATGTCCATATACACAATATATATACATGCAGCCAAACAAACACAATACACTTCGGGTTTCAAAAGTATCAGAATTTCTGATACTTTGGACTACCAGTCTCTGCAGTTTTAATGATAGTTGAGGTATAGAGGATTTCAAAGGTATCAGAATTTCTGATACTTTCGACTATCAGTCTCTGCAGTTTTAAGTATATTTGAGATATAGGGGATTTCAAAGGTATCAGAATTTCTGATACTTTGGACTGCCAGTCTCTGCAGTTTTAATGATATTTGAAGTATAGAGGATTTCAAAGGTATCAGAATTTCTGATACTTTCGACTATCAGTCTCTGCAGTTTTAAGTATATTTGAGATATAGGGGATTTCAAAGGTATCAGAATTTCTGATACTTTGGACTGCCAGTCTCTGCAGTTTTAATGATATTTGAGGTATAGAGGATTTCAAAGGTATCAGAATTTCTGATACTTTCGACTATCAGTCTCTGTAGTTTTAATGATATTTGAGGTATAGAGGATTTCAAAAGTATCAGAATTTCTGATACTTTGGACTACCAGTCTCTGCAGTTGTAAGGTTTTTGTATATTTCAATTGGAGCATCTCACAAAAATTTATGCTGCTTAATAAGGTGTATCTAGATCTTCGCATTTTCAAGATAATGTATTGTAATTTGCTTATTCGTAATTTTTGCTAGTCCGTATCCTCTATTTTTGCAGACAAAAATTGATGGTCAGCAAGATTTTATGAAAATGATTATTTATGTTGACAGGTTTTTCTATGGAAACAGTTTTCGCGCTTTAAGTGTGATTTTGCATCTTGCTTTTCTCTCAAATATCATTTCTTTCGACTTATTTTGCAGATAGTATAAAGCCATTCAAACATTTTTTAAAAGTTTTTTTATATTTTGCGAAAAATGAGCGGAATATCTGCAAAATGAGATGAAAATACCCAAAAAATGAATTTTGGAAAATGCAAAGATAGTTTGGAACGCGTTTCTGTAGCTCAGTTGGTTAGAGCGCTGCTCCGGAATCGCAGGGCCGTAGGTTCGATTCCTACCAGAGGACCTTGTGCTGCATTTTTCGCAGTCGTTCCTGGTTAGGTCTTAAAATGTATATATTCTCACTTGGATTACAAACCCTAACATCCTAATATTTTGGTATGTGTATTGATATGCGTTATTTTACTTGTCTGTGTAAATGCGATATGATTGCGTTTCTTAATTTCCGGCCTAAGGCTAAGTGTGAGCCATAATACAGCCAAAATCAGGCCAGACAAAATTATGGCCTGACAAATGTATGACCCAGTACCGCCGGGTGAAATTTGGTTGAAAATGTCACGTTTGAGATACGCCGTGTATCGCTGGTGTATCGTCACGCTCATTATCGCTCAAGTCTCGCTCAAAAATGTCACGTTTGAGACACGCCATGTATCGCTGGTGTATCGTCACGCTCATTATCGCTCATGTCTCGCCCAATGTCTCGCTCGAAAATTTCACGTTTGAGACACGCCGTGGTGGCCGGACATTTTGCCGAAAGACACTTCGCCGAAAGACATTTTGCCGAAAGACATTTTGCCGAACGGACATTTTGCCGACGGACGTTTTGCCGAACGGACGTTTTGACGAACGGACATTTTGCCGAATGGACATTTTACCGAACGGACAGTTTGACGAACGGACATTTTGCCGAAAATAGAGATATCATGAATTCTTCTGAACTTTAAAGGTTCGCTTACACGGTCAAAGTTTCTGTGATTAAAGTCATTAATTGTCGATTTTTATGACAGAAACTTTGATAGTGAAGTATAGTTTCGTTTTATATTCTTTCAAGTTTTTGACAAGTTTACCGAAAATTCGCGATATAAAGAATAACATCATTCAACATCATTCATGAATGTGATTTTCCCGAGAACTGTGAATGTATTCCATGATTCTCGAAGTGAAATTCGCTTACGTCGTCTTTATATACGCTTGTTTGTTTACGATCTGACGTCAAAACACGTTCCAAACAAATGAGTCATCCGCTGCACCAACAAGCTACCAATAGTCAATATGGTTATGCACTGCTAACAACCATTATGCACTGCTAATGACCCATTATATGCACTGCTAATGACCATATAATGGTTATTTTACACAATGGTTGAGAATTACACAGTTGAGAAATGAGTCACAGTCCCAAACATTTTGACGAAATAACATCTTTATTTTCGGCAAGTTGTCCTTTCGGCAAATTGTCCTTTCGGGAAACTGTCCGTTCGGTAAAATGTCCGTTCGGCAAAATGTCCGTTAGACAAAATGACCGTCGGCAAAATGTCCGTTCGGCAAAATGTCCGGGTACCACACGCCGTGTATATCGCTGTGTATCGTCACGCTCATTATCGCTCATGTCTCGCTCAATTTTATGGCCCGATTATCGCTCATGTCACGCCATGATTTTCGGTACGGGAATTACTAACATCACCAAGGCAACATCTTCTTTTCACCCCAGTCACATCATTGGTAACATCTTTGTCAGACTGCAGGCTGAGAAACAGATGGCAGCTTTTCAAAGTTTGTGTATCTCCAAGCAAGAAGCAACTGTTTCTAAGTTTGCATCTCCACTTCCACCATATGGAAATACAATTATTCCACATGAGATCATAGAGAAGCACACCCGATCTTGGCAAGCCCACCTCGAGAGAGTAAGTGATTTTCTGTTGACTGGAAAGGGCAGCTGGTGGATGGAGCACGAGAATGGTGACATCGAATTTTACGATGGCGAGCAGCCCCCAGATAATCATTCTGAAGGTCCTTCTCTTCATCACTTTCGATCAAGTAATTTCAAAAGCGAAGAGAAATACCTTGAAGAATGTTGGGAGAAATGTTTACGGTTGGGTGTGACACTACCTATAAAAGTGTTAAGAATTGAAGATGAGCATGGAAACATGAATGTGGTACAGCATTCATCTGTGAACAGATTGGAAATGGAAAGTGATTATAACCTAATGAGCCAAAACAACACAATCCTGAATTCATGGACAGTACAATAGCAGAACATGAAATACAAGCATCTGTTGCTACAAAAACAACAGAAGAGAACATTCTAACATTTGAATTGGTCCCTGATAATGTATCAGAATTACCACTGGATGTACTAGATGACAATGTCTGCAATGATGAAAAAAATCAACAAGAGAATG